CGACTCTTCTTCGCAACCTCTTTGTCTCTCATCTCCTGATCTACCCTCTCATCGGTCAATTCGATTTCACCATGTAGGTCGCCCTTCTTCAAAAACCCATGCTCAACACTTTCCCTCGCTCATTCTGTTAGGAATCGAGTACGCTATGAGCTCTTCCCCCCGCCTTCATCATTGCCCGGTTTTCTCCATCACTCGTCTTCTCGTTTCCTTCCTCCTCTGATCTAGCGGCACTTAGCGCAGTCCGGCCCTTTCGACCACTCCTACTACCTTCAGTGGTACTTTCGAAGGGAACGAGCTAGTCGATGGTTTTCGATAATCTTGCGCCCCTGTACCCAAGTTCGTCGAACGAATTACTTGTCAATATCGTTGTGCACTACTTCGGAGGGGACTTAGCTACTTGCTCACCTGCTCAGCCTTTCACCCCCTGACCAGATTGCAGATGTGTGGGCGCCCAACGATCCGGCTATAGAGTGAACTTCCGAGGGACTCAGCTACCCCCTGTACCCAAGTTCGTCGAACGAATTACTTGTCAGTATCGCTGTGCACTACTTCGGAGGGGACTTAGGTACTTGCTCACCCGCTCAGCCTTTCACCCCCTGACCAGACCTGCAGATGTGTGGGCACCCAACGATCCGGCTGTAGAGGGAACTTCCGAGGGACTCAGCTACCCCTTGGCCTGATTAGTCTCTTGACCCTATTTTGAGTCAAATGGAAGATATGTACCTTGGCCTATTGTGGGCTGTTTCGAAGGGGACCATCTGCTGGCTGGTTCTATTAGCCTTTCGACCCTGTACCACAGTCTGACGACCGTTTTGCACGTTCGTACCGCTAGGATAGTTCGAAGGGAACCAGCCACTGGGCGGTCCAGTAACCTTTCGCCCCACTCCGAAGTCCGACGGATGAATCGCCCGTCAGCCTGCTCGTGCGCAACTCTGGAGTGAACCAGCTGCCCTCTCGTTCTGTACACCACACAGAGCATACTCACACTAGGACCTTCTGGGCTAGGCTCCGGATGAAATTGCAGTCAGATACTTCCGGAAAAGTCCCAGTGTGAGCTCGGCCCGTATGGTAGTTTCGTTGGAGTCCTTGCCAGGATACCGCCCGACTGCGCTCTACCCAGGCATAGCTCACCACCTTTTGGGTGTCGATGGGCAGGCTCACACTCAAGCCTTTCGACAACATGTCATGGCTGGTGGACGGTGCATCTGTAGGTGGTCCTTGTCAAGTTTTTTCAGCCTCATGGGCTTAGCCCCCTCGGTCTGTGTTTCAAGATGGGTAGGTTAGAGGTGTTCCGTTAGCACTCCGCACACGTGGGAACCCGAAAGGGCCCGTACAAAGAGGTTCATGCTCAAGGTCATCGGCTGCCGTGACCACCACCTGTTCGGGGGTTTCGCTTGCCTCCTACTGCAATGCTGGTCACAACAACCCACGCCGGCTGGCGCCCTATGTTCAGATCAACTACAGCGGCGACAAAGTCGTCGTCGGCCTCCGTGTAGGTTTGATTGCATGACTTTTCTCCATTCGCTCCTCGCTCAGCAATTTCAAGTTCTCTTTAACTCGCTTTCGACCTGTTCTTTTCACCCTTCCTCCACGGTACTCCTTCACCGTCGGTATCGGAGTCAGCTTTTTGGCGTGATCAAAGATGAAACTTTTATGAATGAAGAAATAATAAAGGAAAAAAAAAATAAAAACGAGTCAATAATAAATTTAGCAGGACTGACGAGGACGAGGATCTGTTGGCACTCTCTTCGTCTCGCCAATCGGACCCACGCCCACATGAGACCCTCGACCCCTCAGTCTCAGCCTGTTGCCCCCCTTTTGCTCCATCACTGCTTGCTGACCTCGAACCCCAAACCGGTCACCTTAAAATCTTGTAACCAATAGGGCTAAGCCCAAGCCTGAGTTAGGTAGGCGCGACCCTGCATATGAATAGTCACAGGACCGTAATTGGTCCTACCTGCACAAACCAGGCCTTCGCCTTGGCCTACCGGCCAACTTCCTGGCTGTCAGAAAACACCGAGACGCCGCCCACGCCTAGGATCGCAGCTTTCTGGTATCCTGGTCGTCAGGCGCTCGACATATTTTGCCGAACTTTCGACTTTCTCCCATACTAGGATTGCCAACGCCGCGCCTTTCAACGCGTCGCGCAATCATAAACCTCTCGCATGTGCGCAAGGTAGTCTTTATCCTGTTTGTGACATGTCCCGCTAGAGGCTGAGCAGGTTCGTGGAGTGAGGTGAGTCTTTATAAAATAAAAGAAAAATATAACCGAGTTGAAAACTATAGCCAAGGTAACCGGGCCCTATGGCCTTTGACACCTTCCGTCGTCCTGGTACTGCTGATAACTAAACGACCACCTCATAGTGCAACGCAATAATGCGTGCCCCACACACTCTCTCTAATTTGTTTGCATTTTGGCTCGGACTTTCGCCAGTAGCGAGGTTGCCGCGGTGAGCGTACTGACGGGTTTATGTTAATCAAGGATGCTCCCAGTGCGACCTTTGAAAAGGAGGGCAAATACCCTTGTAAGGGTGTTTGCTACGACAATGTGCATTTCGCGACCGGTCATAGCCGCCGTACCACCCACAAGGCAATGCAGTGCCACCTCAGCCAAAATGCCACATCAGCATGCTCTCATCATCACACATACATCTGTTGTCGCCACAGCTGCCACGCTATCGCCACAGTCTTCCAGCGAACTCACCCCTCTACCCGGGTGTCGCTCTATCGAGCGAGCGCCGAAGTATCCTTACTGCACAGAAGCATCGTCAGCACACCAAGTAACAATGTCGCCAGCGCCAGGTAATCGCAAACTCGAACTAGCTCCAATACCAAATTGCAAGGAATATGAGCGAGAGCGATAAACAGAAAACCAAGGTGCAGTGTCGCACAGAAGTCCCGATAGTCATGTACCAAGCAGAGAGCTCAAATGCACCAACATTCCATCCAAATACAATGAACTCGGGAGCCAATGTCCAAGCCCTCAGGCCACACCAACACAGTATCCAATGTCGCTCCTACTGTATGGCGCCCAGCCCCCAGCCTACTGTACTCAGTCTATCTATCCTATCTACATGCGTGCAACAGGCTCACTTCGCCATCAAAGAGCAATGTACATGACATCAACACCAATGCCGACCTCCCACATACACCGGGTACGCTCTCTCGTCTCCCCTCATCAGACCCTATCCACCCACTCATGCGCCTCCTTCCTGAAGACCACCCTTGCCCATCACCTGCCCGCACTCCTGCAGCCCGGCTATGGCCGCTAAGCGCCCCCGCTGCCCTGCAGCGCCCCACCTCACCTCATAGCGCCCGCATCCGCCCCAGCCAGCAGCGCTGATGCAGACACTTGCGCAGCGTCGCAGCAGCGTGTCCGCATTGCCTGCCAAGGCCAGAATGCCAGCCTCTGGCCGGCCTCCTCTTTATATGGGAGTAGCTGCCCTGCTGGGCTGCCTGGGCCTGGCCGAGGAAGTTTCCAGTAGCTTCCGGCGGGGCCCCAGTGCCCAGGCCCATTCCTAAAGTTAATGGCCTGGGCCCTCTTCTGTTGGGCACCTTCAGGATTTCTCCAGGCTCCAAGTGTTTGCCGTGTTTGCATTGGCCCGCGGGGTAGGTGTGACGTCAATGCTGCATTCTCATTTGCCCTCGGCCACTTCGTGATGTGTCTGCCTCACAATGTGTGTGCCCCGGGCGAAACCACCTGCGTCCTGGGCTTAACTGCTTGACGCAGCTGCTGCTTCTGAAAAGAGCCCAGACAGAGGCCCAGGTTGCACTGCAACCAACTGGCGTGCGGCATTTGTCTGATACCTACATTGGAAAATGTTGAGATGAGGGGGCCCGCCTTCACTTAGGGCGTGCACAGGGCTTGCTGGGGCCCACAGCCCAGAACATGTGCATGTCTGATAAGGGTTCCGCGAAGGCTCATTCCTCGCAAATGCTACATTCCTAAATCTGGCTGGGGATGAGAGTTCTCTGAGGGCCTGACACTATTGACCTTTGTTGCCTCAATACATCAAAGAGTAACTGGATGAGGGAGCATAGGAGCGAACATGCAAGACTTGCCGAGCTCAAAAGCGAAGTGGAGCAAGAGAAAAACTTTGAAAAAGTGGAATAGAATGCCGAGGATAGATAATAGGAGAAGAAGAATTGCACAAGTTGAAACCATTTTCTTCCCCCTCTCTTCTTCTCCATCTCAACCTACATGCTGTCTACATATGGGCCCTGACTACTCGTGACCTTTTCAGAAGCTACTGGGTTCTTCTGATTCTACAGGGCCTCAGTTGGGGCTATGCGATTCGCTGGAAAGCCCCTACAGTGTGCTAGCCAAATTCTACATATGTCCCCTGTTCGTTCTGGCCTTCCTAGACGTCTCCCTGCTGTCCAATGTCAGTCCTATCCCTGTGGCTCCCCTTTTTGCAAGCTACCCCTTCTCGGGACCACGGAAAACACAGGGTGAGAACACACTTAGTACTCCGGATACCAGTCATCACATAGGGACTTAGCCACATGCAAGCAAACAGCAATCTCATTCAGAACATGGAATCTCAGCGAATCAAACCATCGAGCATCAATACTATACAACTGCATACATCAAGGATCAGGTTTGCGGATACCTGTGCCAATGGAATTACGCATGCAGGCATTGTAGGGTAAGTTTTTTGTGTCGGATATTGCACATGCTGGCATGTAGATAGGGAAATCAGATCCAGAGGGGGAAGTGGGGCAAAGGGGAGAGGAGGAGGAGCCAGGGGATAAGGTGGAGAAGGAATGGATGTGGCCCCGGGGGGCAGGGGAGGCGGATGGGGAGAAAATGTGTCTTTTGTGGCAGAGGCATTGCATTGTGCAGTGCAAGTATGGAGAGCTTCCATACTTGTGGAGCCTGCTTCAAGGATCTGGATATTTGGAAATGAGATTGCCCAGCCATGGATGATTGATTGATTCTGTTTGCATGTTCTTGTTGTTTGGATATGACGGATGGTGTCTTTTTTTTGTTTTCTCAGTTCCCAGGAGGCGGGCGGATGGCTTGGGGTCAGTATCCGGGGCAGGCCGGTTGAAGGTCTGCGAAAGAGGATCTGTGTGCCATACGAGCAAAGGGCTATGGCAGAAGAAGGGGATGTTCTTGACCAGCGGGAAGAGGGAGCCTTACTATTATCAGCACCAGCACCGACAACCGCACCAACGCCAGCACCAGCATCAACTGCAGCTGCTGTTCCAGTGGCTGCAGCGACTATGGACATTGAAGCAACAGGAGCTGAACAGCGACACATTGATGATAATCACCACTTCCACTTTGATGGAGTGCAACAATCTGATGGGTGAGTATCTATCTATATCTCTTCGTTGCACCGAAGTCAATGGCCTGCTGCCCCACCAAACTGTACAAGCCAGGATAGCAAAATGGAACGACCGTGTCAAACCAACTGGCCTAGCTCAGTTGGTACACCCTTGAACTGCTAAAATACAGACCCGAGTTGAAACTCTGGTGGAAGCAGATGAGTGAAATACTACAATTCTGAATCAGGTAGGGCCGGTCACTTCGACGACGATACCTCAAGTCCGTCACCCTTTAAAAAAACAAGTGGTTGCCCACCGCGGCTATGCCCGCGGCACATATCTGCTCCTCCCCACCCTGCCCCTGTCCCTCCGTGACCTCCTCCTCCTTCCGTTTTCTCCCACCTCATGCCGATGTGGCTCCCTCATATCCCTCTGCTATATTCTTCTCCGACCCCTCCTCCTGTGTCACGCCCATCTCCCGCTCCCCCCCCTCCCCTTGTCACAACCTTCTCCCCCTCCCCCTCCTCCCCTGTCACCCTCTTCTCTTCCTTCCCCGCTTCTCCCCCCTCCCACATGATGGTATAATATGACGTGAGTGCCACATTGCCTTTCCCACCACTCTGATTCTGCGTTGGCTGCAACTCGAAAGCCCTAGATACTGGGTGTCCCCCTGCACCCCCTCTGTGACCTCCTCCTTCCTGTTTTCTCCCACCTCATCTCCTCGCAGCTCCCTTATATCTGTGCTTCTAGCCCACTTCTTATCCTCTGTGTTATGATCCTGCTGATTCCCAAAGTCCAAATTCACAATGAAAGACAATGCCACCCAGTTGCGAAGAAATGAAAGCACTTGCAAAGAGATAGAGTCCAAAGAAGAGAGGAAGAAGAAGAAGAAGAAGATGTACACCAGCGAGACCAATGACAAATCCCCCTTCTCTCTCCACCTTCCTCCTCCGTGACTTCGCCAATCTTATTCTTCTTCCGAATAATAATAATAACAATGAGTGGATGAACCTGAATCAATATCCGAAGTTGCCTCTTACTACTAGCACGACAATAGGTCCACCATAGCCACGGCTTCCACCTTCTTCCTCCTCTCGCATGCCAAGGCTATGGCGGACTACTAAGGGCTCTGCCCTCTTTTGCAAAGGACAACACAAAGCAGCTATGTCGCTGCTCATCAGGCCGCCATACCTGACTCTGCCTCGAGCTCCCTTGGTGCGGCAATACCCCAACTGGGGCCTTCCAGATCCAACGCCTATCAAGGTGATGAGGGCAGTGTCCACCATAGCCAGGTAGGTACCCCGCCACTCTCTTTGTTCGCCCCTTTCTTCCTTCTCCTCAGGCTGGGCTGCTCACCATAGCCAAGCTGAGCGCCCAGGTGCTCTCCTTCCTCCAGGTAGCGCTCCGAGTCCAGCGCTTGGCTCCAGCAGAATGTCGCCAATCCTTGCGCACCGCAAATGAGGAGGAGCTACTTGCACCACCTCCCGTTCGGAGGGAAACATCATTGCAGGCTCTGATATCATCCGTACAGGCCCTAGACTCAGGCTACTTGGACTGGTACCGACCTACCTCTAGCCTACTGCTACTTGGCCTCTAAAAATGCCAACTTTTTGTCTTCTTCTGCTCGGCCTCGAGTACCCAACACTTCTACCACTACTTGAGTGGTACCGGCCTCCCTGCTGCTTGACTTTCCCCTCTCCTCTAAGTATTGCGGGCCTACCCCTGCTACTTGAGTGTTTTTCCCGCTGCAATCCTCAAAGTCACGGCCACGGGTAAGTACCGGCCCCTTTTTTTTTTTTTTGTTTCCCACCCGGGGAGGGGCTCCATCTATTGGTGGGGAGCATCACCTGCTGGAAAACGGGTCCATCGTCCCATTACAGGTTGAAAAACAGAGTGAATACAGGCTGAATCAAGAGGAGATAGCTGTGAACCCTGCCAGCATTGATTACTCTGGCAACCAGAGGATTGACTGTGCAGGTTTGCTAAGGGAGGGGAGAATCTCTTCGCCCCAGTACCAGGCGCCGGATATCTACTGCTAAAGAACTAGTTCCTCCCACCCTCCTTGAATAAACTGAGGAAAAAACTGAGGAAAAAAAGGAAATCTTCACCCTAAAACCAGCGCCAGATATCTGCTTCTACATATCTGTTTCCTGCTAAACAGGGGATCGACTGAGCAGACCTGTACCACTTCCTTAGTTTTTTTTTTGGAAAGCATCACCTGCTGGAGATCGAGTCCAGCGTCCAGCAGCCAGTAGGTTGTAGTGTAGTTGATTTGAAGCTTGAGTTCCACCATTGCCTTCTGTATCTCTTCCGTGACTCTTTTACTCAAAATTGGTACCAAGGCTGCTGCTCTCTCCATGCTCGAGTAACTCAGGTAGCCGATTAACAGCTCCAGCGAAGGGCAAAGGAACATACAATGAGCGGGTTCCTCCCCAGGGGGCTCCGGGGAGGATTGTGAAGGCCATGGAGCACATTTATAGCAACACTTCTGCCAGTGACAGGCCGTGGGGTGGGAAGGGATCTGGGAAATCCGAGGGAGGGCGTAATGGAAATGGGGGTTCTATTGTAGTCCAATCTTTGAAAACTAAGCGATAATGTCTGATTCGATCTAACTCTCTCAGTCCTTCTCCCTGATCCCCGCTCCATCCCTCCCTTTCCCCTCCTACCCAGTCAGTGCAAAAAGTCATGATTTGTCTCCTGACATCTCCCATTTGCCTGAACTGTTCTAATTGCACTTTTGTGTCTGGGGCTCCCAACCAACAAGTACCCTTGCAGGTCACACACACACTCAGGCCGAGAAGCACTCAGACAGGCACGCAGACCAGGAGGGACACACACATACTGAGAAATCACAGCAGAATGCGGGAATCTCGGCAAGGCATACATTCCAGCGGCAAATCCCGAAAATCAGCAGTGTTCTCAGTTTGTGTTTCGGCCGGTCATTACACTACCCCCTCTCAAGAGCGAGGTCCCTTCGAGCGAGTAACTCATTCAGAGTCGGCACAAAATGTGTCATAGACGTAGATCAGAAAGAGAGTTTCAGTATAACCGTGAGGAGTAAATGTTGCAGAAAACTTAGCAGTCTGTCCATCACCTATCGGCTGTTCATAATCTTTAAATAAACACAAGGACCGTTTTTTAGCAGCTCTTTTCGGTCGATCCAGTAGAACTCATTCAACGGGTGATAGAGGAAGTGAACTTATATTGTTTGTTCTCTACTTTTCCTTCACGGGAAACAATTTTGTCTAGTTTGTGTCCACCGTTGATAGCATGAGGAATCATAGGATCTCGTAAGGGAAATGTCTCATCATTAATGTGGGGAAACAGTTTGGATGGGTGAAAGACCGGATACGTACGCAGATGAGGTGGTATGACGATCACGTACGAAGGACCAAATTTGTAATCTCCTACTACCTTCAGAACCTGCCAAGGACCATAGTACAAAGGAAAAAGCTTTCGTAATACTCCCTCTTCTTCGGAAAATTCAGACATCTTGATCAAAACATAACTTCCTTCCTCGCAGTTCATTTCTTTGCGTGACTTGTCAGCATGTTTGATCATGGCATGTTGGCGCTTGTTCATCACTGCAATAGCAACTTTGAGCAAGGCATGCTGGGCGTCAGACTAAGTGACCGATCGGGGAACAGATAGGAGAGAACCGTATTGCAGTTGATTCAGTGTCACGCCAACTGCAGAGTGAATGGAGTTGTTATACAACCCCTTCACTTTGTGTAACTCCTTGTCCTGCATGTTCTGATTGGGGAAATGCGCGAAGCAGTTGAATGGCGGTCTGGTTGATTTCCTCGGCCAACCCATTGGCTTCGGGGTGTCGACCAGAAGTCATATTGAGTTTAATGTCGTAGATCTGAGAGGTGAAGTCCTTCCAATCAGTTCTAATGAACCTGGTGTCCCGATCACTCACAAGAGTTCTTGGGGGGTCATACTGCAGAATGTACTACTGGTGAAATTCTTTTATCACAAGCTCGGTTGGTGCATGAGGAGGTATAGGAATCAAGTTCATAAATTTAGAAAAATGATCCACCATGACCATGACTTGTGAATGTCCTCCCTCATTCACCTTTCCCATGTCCGTGAAATCGATCGAAACCGACACACCGGGTCCATCAGGATTGGACCATAAGACTTATGCCTATGGACCTTCGTTCTTTAACAGACTTGACATTCAACACTAAACTTATGAGCGGAATGGAAAGGGGTATCAACAGGCCATAAGGCTTATGCCTATGGACCTTGGTTCTTTAATGGACTTGACATTCAGCAATAAACTTTTGAGCGGCCAATCAAACTGCTGCAAAAGACTTTCGTAAGTCTTCTCAAAGCCGAAGTGTCCACTCCAACCATGTGCCCAATCCAAGAAAAAAGTTCGGAGAGGCGCATGGTTGGGTACACACAAACGAAAAAACTTCCCATAGCGTCAAAATACAAGACCCTCACACTCGTGAAAATCAGGTTAGCTGCTAGGGTCAGCCTTGATCTGCTTGAGGATGGGACTAAGGCCCGAATCCTTGGCAGTGTGCTCAACCAGATCCTCCTTTAGTTTCCTTCGGAGGTCATATTAGCTCACGAGGCAAGTCAAAAACTCAAGATGACGAGACAAAGCATCAGCGACACAATTATAACAACCTTCCTTGTGTTTCAGTTCAAAATTGTAAACAACAATGTCATGCAGCCAGCGGGTCAGCGTCGGAGAGAGATCAGTTTGCGTTTTGATCCACTGCAAGGTCTGATGGTCTGAGTAAACCTTGAAGTAACGACCCAAGAGGTAGTGCTTCCAATGCCTTAGTGCCTCTTGCAAAGCATAGAGCTCACGCATGTATGTGGAGGTAGCTACCTTGTGGTTGGGCATGCATTTGCTATAATATTCGAGCGGACGCAAGCCATCACCATCTTGTTGCAGCACTGCGCCAATCCCATACTAGCTCCCCACGAATATGAGGTTGGGATCCGCAATGCGGAGCATAAAATGACTTACCAAAGTTTTTTTCAAAGCTTGAAACGCAGTCTCACATTTCTCACACCG